AAATGAATTGCTCAGTGTCTTATATTAAATATGAGATATTTGTTTTTTAATTACTTGCTTGAGCTGCTATTCATTGTCTTTTGAAGAACTCCCCTTTAAATTCCCCAGGAATGTCAAGGTTTATTGGAGCGGGAAGGACTCAGCCCTTTTCCAGTGCTAGGTACGCAGCACACTGGGGTTTTGTTAGTTTACCGCCACTTGAATTTGCTGCTGAAGACCAGTCCTGCACTCTTCCCTAGAAGCGCTTGTCTGCTGCTTCAGTGGTTCCCTTGCCAGTCACGTCCTCTTGGTTTTCTGCAGTGCTTCTTTGTTTTCATTTGATCCTTGTGGCCCTAGTAGAAAGCTCTTTTGATTTCCACATGTAGACACATCCTGGGGTATACACTGACCAACACTGAGATCTGGTGGTGTTCCATTAACTCGCGTACCTGAAAGACTGAAGCTGGTCTTCCCTGTTCACTACTGCTACTCACATGGCAACGTAGCCTTTAACAGCCTCCCTTACTTAGCATGTATTTATATGGCTCTTCTCTGACCATACTGCCTTATTATGGCAGATAAAGCATAACTGTTCAGGAAACCAGTTTGTGTTCCTCCAACATGCACAAGAAGAATTCATTTTCCAGCCCTTGTTCTACCTAGATTATGCGATGAAAACAATTACATGATGAGAACATGGGCTCACATGTCCACTCCCTGGTCTTGCCATAATACATTTCTTGTGAGATTCTTCATGCACTGTTGCTTTATGTGACTAAAAGTAAAAGATTCTGAAAGGGTAGCATCACCAGTTAGGGACAACCTGATCCCTGAGCTGCTGTCTAGAGGAGAACTACCCAGGAGAGGGCATCTCTTGATGTGTATGCATGAGAAATAAATATTTACTTTTTTAATTTTGAGAAATAAATATTTATTTTGTGAATTGTCTGAAATATGCTATTGCTACAGATCCTATCCATTTTTAACTAATAAACTTCTTGCTCAAGTCAGTTTACTGTCCCTGAATGATGTTACTCAAGTTCTTTTAGCATTAAGAAGAAAAGTCTTTTGCATGTACTCAATCAAAAAAGTATTTGCTTCAGATGGACTTGTTTACCAGCTGTTGGTCACTGAAGAGACTGGAACTTCTAGGATCATGCCTTTATCAGTTAGCATTGCTAAGCTATGTTTTGGTAACTCGTAATCCCCAAATCTAAGTGGATTAACACCAATAAAGGTTTATATCTTTCTCAAGTTATGTGTCTGTCATGGGTTAGGTGAGGCTCTGTTCCATGTCATTGTCATGGTCCCTAGAATGATGGTGTAGCCACAACACTAGCTGAGGCATTGATGGCTTTGTGAGTGAAGTAAATAGAACCAGTAACCACATGGTGTTACTTAAAAGCTTCTACTTGTAAATGACAAATACCAATTCTGCTAGCATGTAGAGGACTAAAAGCAAGTCACATGGTAAAAGCTGATGTCATGGAGAATGATATATAATCACAGACAGGGGAACTGGGATATTAGGAAGAATAGTAATGCCATTTGCCACAACATTCAAAAGATACCCATCTCAATTTCTGTTTTGAAAGGCATCATAGTGATTTTTTCTGACTAGTTCTTGGGGACGGAGCAGAGCTTTATAGCCTTTTCATGCTGGGACTTCACAGAGTGCATGGTGCCCAGGAGACAGTTTGGGGAGATTTGATCCACTGCTGTTATTCTGTCTATGGGTTCTGATGAGTGAAACAGATTGCATCTACCCTGAGCCTTAAGGGAATTCTGAGGGCCTGTGCCATGTGCAGAAGTGTGTTATTTAATAGTCAGTTTTACTTAGTTCATAGAAATGTCCACTTCATGACGCCTCAAGCCTTTCCCATCCATCACCCTCAGCTCATCATGCTTCAGTCCTGATGATGAATGGGATGAAGATGTTTGCGTGCTATTTGTCAGTAGAAAGCATGACAATTTCTGAAACTAGCACTAGAAAATTTATGTTGATTCAAGTGAGAAAATGCTTTTCTCCCTTACTTAGATTCCTTCCATGACCCATAACTGCATCCCATCTGTCCTCCTATCTTTTCTGGGAAGTACCTGAGGGACACTTTTTGTGTTTCTTCCTAGCTTTTACATGCTTCTCTCAAAAAGAGGAGGCACAATTAATAAGATTAACTGATCGCTAACAGTCTGTTATCTTCTGGTTGAAATCCAATTTCTAGACATCAGGGTTTGCTTTAAAAGCAGGGGAAAAGGCTGGGGGTGAAGTTCAGTGATAGAGCACTTGTCTAACATCAAAGGGAGCCTGTGTGTGATTCCCAGAACTAGCAACTAAAATCAGAGATAAGCCTCACACTTTTTTCCTACGCAGACCATTAATTATATGGATAAGTATGGAGTGCAGGGTCTCTCTTCTTACTTTTGTATAAGAAGTGCAACTGGATTATGGCTGGATCTTGCTTGGTGGAGGTAGGTCTGGGGAGGACTCCTGTCCTGTTCTTGTTGGCCTCTCTGTCCTCTTCTTCCTCTAGCTCTTCTTTTTCTCCTCCTCCTCTTCTTTTCTTCTTCTTCTTCTTCTTCTTCTTCTTCTTCTTCTTCTTCTTCTTCTTCTTCTTCTTCTTCTTCTTCTTCTTCTTCTTCTTCCTCTTCTTCTTCTTCTTGTCTCTGTCCTATTCTTGATGGACCTGTGGAGCATCTTACTGAGTAGGAATATTAATTATTTTCTTGGTATGTCCAATGCCCCAATGCTGTGCACCAAGGGAAACCTATTTAGGCCTCAGAGTCAAGCTGAGTGGTTTAGTAGTGAGCTTAGTATGACAGGTGTTATTAACCCTTTGTTAGTGTATATTTGGTCTCCATTTGGCTCCTTGTGGATTTCTTTCATGTTTACAACTAGAGAAAGAGAGCTAGAGACAATGATTAAGTTTGTTCTAGAGTCTAGCATATGGATATTCCTTAAAACTTATGGTAACGGACAATATCTCTGTTTTGTGTGGTGTCAGGGGTTGAACCTAAGGCTCTACACAAGGTAGGCAAATTACCTCTGAGCTATACCTCCACCCTACAAAGAGGACATTTGAAAAATATGGCACTTTACTAAAAATAAACAGAGGAAAAATTGGCTAAGATTACAACAGCTAGACAACTAATGTTCTTCACATTAAAACCATCCTCTAAATGATGAAAATGGTAAGAAACTTAAATTAAAATAAGTGAAGTATATGTAGTAGTAATTCACCAAATAAGAAAAATGATCCCTTTTTGCTGTCTGCATGGTTTCCCTAGCTGATGCCATCAGATCTTGTAGCTTTAAGTGCTGTCTGTAGGCTGATGATTCCCCATTTTTTACTTCCAGTTCTGAACTTTTCCTTCGTGCATTAAATTCAGATATATATATCCACTTGTTTGCAGCTCTTTGGCAATGATAAACAACCTCTTTAAAGCTTTCCATTCTTAAAAAAGAACCGATAGTTTGTCAGTACCCTAAACCTCCTCCTCTCACTTTGGGAAAGGGCACTGTCATTGAATTAAAACACAAATAAGTATATTTGTAATTTCTAGCTTTTGTGCACCCTTACCTATAACCTACTAGAATGTTCTTTTGGTCCTCACTTCTTTCTTGAATGTGTCTTTTTTTCTCTTTAATTTCTTCCTGATCCAAATTACTTAATGGATTTCTCTGCTTTCTCCCCTATTCCCTCCAATCCAATCTATTCCTGCCATAGCAATGTTCAGAAAACATAGTGCAATGATTTTATACCCTGCATTATGCTTCATAGAGAGTGACAATCCCCAACTAAAGTCTGTTCTACCACTAGATGATACTTGACAATGTCTAGAAACACATTTGATTGTCATAGTGGAGTGGTGGGGAGAAGTAGGCCATGTTCCTGATATCTAATAGATAGAGTCTAATGATACTAGCAAACACCTTACAGTGCACTGGGAAGCCCTCCACAAGGAAGAATTGTCTGATCCAAAATGTTAATAGTGTTTAGATTGAGAAACTCTGGTGTAAAATTCAAGCTCTTTGTCTTAGGCTATAAATTACTTTGAGATCTGCCCTTGTTCACTCTCCATGTAATCTCCTGTCACCTTTTTCTTCTACCACTTCTATTTCCCCACAAAGACCCTTTTATTCCTTATAACATGTTAGGTTGGTGCCTATCTGTAGCATTTGTCCTTACTGTCACATGCCCCTGTTTTATTTCCTTTATAGTACTTTGTACCGTCTATAATTTTCTTTTTTTAAAATTATTTGTTTAATTTGCTAAGGATGACATAACAATACCACACAATTGAGAAAAATTATTTTCTCACACTTCTAGAGCTAGGAGTCTGATGTTAATAGATGGCCAAGGTTAGTTTCTTTGACACTTCTCTCAACATACAGTTGTTTTTTTCTACCTTTGTCTTCATCTTGTCTGTAGTTAAGCCCAAATTTCTTCTTATAAGTACATTAGTGTAATATTGAATCAGGATCTATTCTATTAATAATACTGGGTCAGGATCTGTTCTAATGACTTTGTCTTAACTTAGTTGGCTCTCACAATGTAGAGACCTTCTCTCCAAATACAGCTACATTATGATGTACTCAGAGTTAGAATCTCAGCCTGTAAATTTGTTGTACACAAGGGTGAAGGAATACAATTTAGTTCATAACATATGTGTATTGTTTATGTTCTCTAAACCAAAATATAAGTCTTGTGGTGGAAAAAACCATATATATTGTTATAGCTTGTATCTAGATCTCCTCTCAAAGCTTCATGTGTTCATAGGTTGGGCTTTTCGGAAGTGAGTGAATCTAAAAAGTACTAATATAGATTATGGGTGTGTGATGACTGGATCAGTCCATTGATTGGATTATCATAGCTCTGACTATAGCTGATGGATTTACTGCAGACAGAAGACCCACTCCTGATGTGAGTGGCACCAACAATAGTTTGAATGGAATAAAGAGGGACAGGAGGCTTACTGCTTCCTGCGCCCTGCCTGAGGTACCATGAACTGTTTCTCCTCAGGCAAACCCTTCTGCCCTGCTGCCCTGTCTGGAATCCAGTTGACTGTGGACTGAGAGTTCTACAAACTCAGGTAAAATAAACCTTCCTCCTTTAACTAATGAGTGTCAGATATTTGTCATAGCAATGACAAATCAACAAAGACATCTATATTATTTAAAAATGTATCCAAAGCACCTATATTGATACCACGTATTTAACTAATAAGAAATATTTGTTTTATAAATGGATAGTGAGAATATCTTTTAAGAGTTGGTGGCTGGTAAACATAAGATAAGAGGGAGAAAAATTTCGGGTGATTCCTAGGTTTCTTAGATGATAAATGGATGGTGATAGTTACTCTCAGTAAGATAATAAACACAAGAGGATAAGAGTTTCAGGCAAAAACTTTAAATATACTGAGTAAGAAGAATCTTGGTATTTTTAGGTAGAAAATTTAAGACTGCCTTTAGATCTGTGGCCTGTGATGCAGTACAGAGATTTTGGTTAAACATGTACACTTGGGGATCATCAATTTATAGCAAGTAGTAAAACTGTATAACAGATGATATTATTCAAAAAGAATATACACAGCAGAAGGCCTAAAGCAAAAGCAAGATAATAACTGAGTGAATACAGTAAAGTTCAAGAAGCAGTAAATGGTAAGAAAAGAGGAAGTGAGGCAAATCGTAGAATCAAAATGGAGACATATTGAAAGGACTAGCTATATATATATGAAAGTATAGAGAAAAGTTCTTCTTAATGATTGTTCTAAGGAACAAACCTCCCATGAAATAATTTACAGAGAAAAATTTTGTAGTCAATCAAGTGTGAGAAATGCTTAGTCTATACACTTTTCTTACAGAATTACAAATAAAATCATTAGTATACCAATGCCTCTGAGAAGTCTTGCTGTAAAGAAATATAAACATATTAATTTCCAAATTAGTTTCCAAAGCTTATTTGTGCATGAGTAATTCCCTGCTCTTTCTGCATAACTGCTATTACCAACAGTATACAGAGCTAATGTCCCAGTGAACATTCTTTGGGAAACACTGGCATAGCACAGTCAGGCAAATGAAAAGATTCCTTTGCATTTGACAATTAGGGGTTTAGTGATCTTATCTGAGTTTTTATTGTTGTAGAGACTGAAAGTTGAAGAGGTTGGAACAGGGATTAATGCAGTACATTAGAAGGAATACTTTCTCTAAACTTGACCTTGGAGAGGAGGTAGGGTAGTGGCTTGAGTTGATGATTCCATAAGGAAAATAATGATTTTATGTGGGAAAGACAAGCTAAACTTATATGTAATAGATTGAGGAACAACACCAAAAGGAGCTGAATATGTTTGCCTCTCTGTTTCTCAGGGGTCTGCATCTGTAGATACACACAACCACAAATCAAAAATATTTAAGAAAAAAAATTGTGTCTGTACCGAACATTTAGAGTTTCTTTGTCATTATCCCTTAAATTTACAAGGTATTAAAACAACCATTTACACAACATTTAAGTTTACATTTATGCATAATCTAGAAATTATATATCTTTTGTGGTAGGATGCACATAGTTTGTATGTAAATACTATGCCTTTTATTTTTATGCTTTTTTATTTTAAAAATCAAAATTAAAAAAGAATAGAAATGATGCAGAATTTCAAAAAATAGTAGGAAATTAACCCTAGCTAAAATTGCATATTGTTATCTTAGAAGTAGTTGCTCAAGTTACAAGATCTAGGCACAAAAATGATCAAACAATGACAGCACAAACTGTTTTTTTTTTTTTGATGGACTAACAGAGATTAGTAGTATAATTATCTATCTTGCATACATATATACATATATACACATTTGTATATGTATACCTGTATACATATAGTCTTTTCCTTTTTTACTTTTCTCCTTTCCCCATCCCAGTTGTTCTTTCCTTTTGAGCACTTTATTTCCCTTTCATTATTACAATATCTATTGTACATTTTGGATCTTATTACTCTTTCAATTTTTAATTTTTATTATTTTTATACTAAGGAGACAAAGTTATATTTACAAATGTGGGTTTGACTTATTTCGCTTATGAGAATGGCCTCAAATTGCCTCCATTTACCTATAAAAACTTTAAGATTATCCTTTTTTATAGCTAAGAAATATTTCAATGTATTAAAAATACCACTTTTTTATCCATTCTGTGGTTGATGGGCATTTAAATTGTCTCCAAGATTTGGCTATTATAAATTGTGTTGCTATAAACATGGGTCACATATATCACTGTGGCATGACAGGTTCTATTTTAATTTCAATTTTTCTGAGAAGATACCCAGAAGGAGCTTAGCTGGATTGAAATGAGAGCTCCAATCCTAGTTTTTTGAGGCAATCTGCACAGAGTTCCACAGTGGTTGCACCAGTCTACACTCCCACCAACAGTGGAGAAGAGTTTTTCCCCACTTCCCTGACAATGTTTGTTATCAGTCAATTTTTTGACGGCAGCCATTCTTCTTTCTGGAATGAGACAGAATCTCAATGTTGTTTTAATTTGCATTTTTTGGATGATCAATGATGTTGAACATGTCTTCATGTATTTATTTGCCATTTGTATTTCTTCACCTGAGAAGTGTGTGTTCATCTTAGACGCCCATTTTTAGATTGTATATTTGAATTTGGGGGGCCTGATGTTTTTCAGTTCTTTATATGTTCTATGTAGAAGTCCTTTGTCTGAAAGGTTGCTGGCTAAAATTCTTTCCCATTCTGTGGGTTTTCTTTTCACTTTGTTGGTGATTTCTTTTGAAGTACAAAAACTTTTTAATAAGAAGAGATCCCAGTTGTTGATCCTTTGACTGTTTGCATTTTGTTCATGAATTCTTTGCCTACCCCTATGTCTCCAAGATTTCTACCTACCTTGTTTTCCAGTAGACTTAGGGTTTCTATTTTAATGTTTAGATATTTGACCCATTTTGATTTTAGCTTAGTGCATGGTGATAGATATGGGTCAAGTTTCAGTCTTTGGCATGTGGAAAGCCAATTATTCCAACACCATTTATTAAAGAGGCTATCCTTCTTCCAGTGAACATGTTTAGCCCCTTTGTCAAAGATAAGGTGACTGAGTGTCTTTGTAGTTGTGTCTGCATCTTCTAATCTGTTCCACTGATCCTCAGGTCTGGTTTTTTTTTTTTTTTTTTCTTTTCTACATGCTATGTCTTTCATGTAAGAGTTTTGGGAATCTGTAGGTTTTTGGTATCTGAAGGGTTTCCTGGAACCAGTTCTCTGTGAATACCAAGGGATGATTGTGATCAATAATGAGTGAACAAGTTGCACAAAGGAGATGAGAAACTCTGATTGGGAAAGTTCTCCCCTTTTCTAGAGACTGAGCTAAAGGAAAGGAGACAATGAATTTATAGATGTAGGATAATAGAAAGAAAGCTAATGGCTGGCTTGTTTTCTTAGATAAGGACATATACCTAGAGTTTGATTTTGTGCTAAAGAGCAGGTGTCCTCTGTAATCTCCTTTCCCTCCCAAAAGTAGCTCATGTATGATTTTGTTCATAGAAAAATTTTTCCACGTTACTGATTATGGGCAGGATATCTTCTTTTGGGGGGACTTCTACCTAGATGTCATTGCCTTGCACATTTAACTACATGGTTTACTTTAGGCCTCTGCCTCTGGGGCAGAGACCTCATGCATTTCTGTGTCCCATTACCTTTCACAGAGTAAGGTGCTGTCAACATAGTGGGATTACTAGCAAGTCAGAGGCAGCATCGCAATCTACTCACTATTAAAAAAATTCAATGAACTGAATTTTTGTAGTTTTCAGTGGTCTAATACGAGGATATTCTTATGCAAACCAGTGCAGTACACTTTCAATGGTAAATTTGTTGTTGTTGTTGTTGTCTTTTTTCATTTTTATCGGTACCAGGGATTGAACTCACGACTGCCTGCTTGCAAAGCAGGAGCTTATGCCACTGAGCTAAATCCCCAGCCCCTCAATGGTAAATTTTATATTAAGATTTTTCCTAGCTAGCATTATGGGGCATTTTTTAGACCTAACTTATTGAGAGACTGAGGGAAGAGGATTATTTGAGCCCTTCAGTTGGAAACCTCCCTAGGCAAAATAGCAAGTGTAAAAATACTTCTGATTCAGGTTTATTTGCATTATTTTTATACTATTTGTGTAAATTCAGTTGAGTTTCAATCCCAGATTTCTCTACCTCAAAGTGTGTCTTTTTGTATTTCTTTTAGTAGAACATTTTTCAGAATGTAACACATATAATTAAAGCCCAATAAGTGGGATTTGTAAGCACAAAGAATAGTGATTGTTATCCTGATTATCATGGAAGATTATAGCCCTAAACAAAGACAGCTATATGATCAAGATTGCAAAGTTTATATTTTTAAATTATGTAGCTGTTGTCCTGGTTACTGCTGTTTCCATGTTTTTTCTTTATAATTATTTCCCCTATGAACTATTTAGTTCTTTTCGGTACCTTACCTTTTACATTTTTACCACCAAATCTTTACTTATATTTATTTAACATACATGCTTAAACTTTGACTTTTCCCTTCCAAATATTTTTCATTTTTTATTTTAAAGAGAATAAACCCCAACAAAACAGAATAAAGCCAATCAAAACAAAACAGTGAATGTGGTACAGAATTTTGAAACTAGATAATAGGAAATCAACAGTGACCACCAGAATATATCTTGTTATCTTCACAATAGCTGTCCATTCCATCAGGCAGAGGAAAATCAAATAAAATAAAACAGAATAAAACCAATCAAAGTAGAACATTGAATAAAACAAAATTACAAATCAAAACAAAACTAAATAGTGAGAACAATATTGAATTTCAAAAGCAAGTCAGAAGGAAATCCCCCATATCTACTGTATTGCATACATCTGACTTCTCTCTTCTTGGGCCCCACATGGTTTGTGTGGCTCACTGGAAGGGTGAACTTGCTTCTTGATGTACTCCTCCCAGACTCAGCTTGGCTTCTGCTGACTCATGGGTAGGATGATGTGGTTTGTCTCTTCTTGGCCTCCCATGGTTTGTACAGCTTATGGAAAGGGTGAACTGACTTCTTGAAGTATCCTTCCCAGGCCCAGCATGAACTTGATGATTCATGGGGAGGAGGAACTCTATTTTTCATTTTTTTTAAATTTTAAGCACTCCAAAATATCATTGCATTATTAATTTTCCTCTATTCATCAATTGCCAACAAGAAGACTGAGAGCCATCAATTTATTTTTTAGATGCTCAACAAAGATTTGTTGGGCACTCACTGTGTTCTAATTACTGCTCTTGGTGCAAAACATACAAACATAGCCAATTAAACATCTCTGTCATTATGAATCTTTCATCATAAAGAAATAGACAAGTAAATGTTAGATAATCAGCTGGCTAACCTTCATTTCTTAGGTGAACCACCAGAAAATAGAACACTAATTTGCAAGGAGTATGTGGATTAGGTAGAAAGCAAAGAAGCAAAAACTACAGATGTACTATATCTGGAATGTTAGACTAAAAAGTAGAAGTTCATTAGGTCATGTAATAGTACAGATTTTTAGGAGTCATGATAGAAATACCAGAGGGTGTTTAACTGATGATATGTAAATGTTAGTGGTGGTTTTTAGGTTTAAAAACATTTTGGTTAATTTCACTATATTATCTGAAAGCTTATTTTAAGCACTACTTAAGAGTCTTTACTGATAAAGAGTCTTTACTGAGTATTTGTTTTGTTGGAGTATATTCAGCAGTGGAAGACAGCCATGAGCATACTTTATTATTTGAGTCTTAGGTTCAGATTTTTAAACAGGCAGCTGTACAAAAGAAAGTAGCTCAGTCCTTACTAGATTCTGGAGCCTCACTCTTGCAGGAAAACAAGTCTATTAAGAAACAACTTAATGTTTAAGAAACATCTTAAACATCCATTTTGGAGATGTTGAGTTACTGGTATTTATGCAATTTATAGTAGAAAATGCCCAGTGAGCACTTTAACACAAAGACCAAGTGTTAAAGAGAGGAATCTTGGTTAGAGACGAAATATTTGGTATCATCTTCCATATCGGGAATGGAGGAAATCACCCAGAAAAGGTATGCTGCTTTTTTGTTTTTTGTTTTTAATGTTTAGAGCAGAAGCCCAAGAAAGGAAGAAAGTGACATGTGAAAAGGAACAAACTGGGGGAAGCTGAAGGATGTGCTGACTGACGGATCCGAATAAGATAGTGTGGCCATAGAAAGAACAGCTAAGTGAGGGAGATGGAAGATCAAGTGTTGGTGTTCACAGGGAAATATGCCTGGATTTAGTCACTTACATCTGAAACTATACTGGCTAACACAGTTAAGTGCCTGCTGAGGTGACTGAAAGTAAGAAGTCCTGTGGAAAGGATCATCAGGGGAGGGACAGAGAAGAGGAAGCAGAAAGTGATAAGGAAGGAGGTAGGAGGACTCTTTGCAGGGCTTAGGTGCCAGGAGTGAGCACACCGGAAACGTGAATCACAATGAGCTGCAGGGTTGAGAAAACAACTGGCCTCAGCTTTCCCCTGGAGAGATGGATGCAGGCCAGGCACATAGGTTCTGCTGACTTGCTCATAGTCTATGTAGTGCTGTTATTAATTTACTTTTTCCCCTGTAATATTGAGTATTGAACCTAGGTCCTTGTGCGTGCTAGACAGACACTTTAACACTGAGTGGCATCCTCAGTTGACAGGTTGCATTTTTAAGAGATTATTAATTGTTGAGTGGTCAGCACCTGGGATCTCTGATGTTGTCTATATGTTGGTTTGGGGATCACAGTTGCTGATATTCAACCTTGTTTTAGGGTTGATAGGCAGAGGTTCTTGCTATGAGAGACTTAGAATCTAGCATTGCTTTTAATTTTTGTTCTTATTTTTTCTTTGGTAGTACATAATGCTTTCGTATCTTGTGTGGAGCTGATGCATGTACACAATACATCTTACTTCCTTTTTAAAAATCCCTTTCCCTCCGTTTTCCCCTCCATCTCTTGATCCTCTTCTCATTTGAGAAAGATCTATTTCCTTGCTTCCTATTATCTACCTTTTATTTTGCTTTTTGTCTATTGTTACGGCCTAGCTCTAACCAATGCACTTCCGTTCTGTTCTGTATGTGCCGTTTTTCGATAGGATTAAATTTCCATTTCCAATAAAGACTTAAGTTTCAGCTTCTTGTAAATCCCCCAAACCTCTATTCTGCATGTTTCTGCAAGGTGTTCTGTTCTGGGAAAATGTTTAACCACAGAGAGCAATGGAATGTACCAAGAATCCCAGATGTCATCTGAATTATGTCAACAGCTTTACAGTTTTTAGCTTTAAAAACCTCGCCCTTAATCTGTTGCACACGCAAATCTTCCATATTGGCTACTGGAGGCTGCATCACCAGGCCTGGAAATAAAGCCTTTGCTCCAAATTTCTTAATTTCTTGCTTCTTTGGATTTATTCCAGGGTCCGAGCTATCACAATTGGGGGCTCATCCAGGATGGAAGCAAGACCCCCGACTCAATTCTGAACACCTAAACATAAGTACTCTGGAGGGTTTGTTTGGAATGCAGTCAGTTCGTACTTTTAGGAGAGGACGCCCTCAATTTGGGGAGCGAGGACTTCCCAAGGACAAAGTCAATTGGTTTTTGGGATGAATTTCATCTGGACGAATTTCATCCGTTTGTGACCCTGCCCCAGGTGGGGAATCACTTCATTGATGAATTTGTTAATTCCTCCAGATCCCAAAAATTTGACTAATTTTTGAGCAAAGGCCATTTTTGCTGCAGCTTGTCTTGTCTTGTATATCTATCTGTATGTCTGTTTGGTCTAACTGTTCTCCTTTTGGTTACCCAAATCTAACAGAACATTTTCTCCTAGGAACCCCTTCTATGAGCCCAAAACGGATGAAAGGACTTTAACCATTATTTTCATCTCATTGTTGTTCTGTCTCCTCCTACTAATCTTATTTTTGTTTCTTAGACTCTCCCACAGGAAAAAAGAACTGACATCTTTGCCAGCCATGGACAAATTGAATCTAATTCCAGCAGACCCCTTAGCCTTGTGCTTGATCATTTCAAGGAATTCAAGTGGCAAGCTGAGGGATATGGGGAAAGAGTTCATAAAGCCAGATTAGCAACTTTTGTCACACAGAAATGGTTGTTAGGGACCCAGGGGGTCTGGCCTCCCTCTGGGTCTTTTAACATGGAGGCAGCACAAGCTGTTTTTGGACCCCCTGCTCACCCTGACCAAATTGTCTATATTCAGATCTGGATAGACGTAATTTATGATGCCCCTTCCTGGATTAAGCCCTCTCGTGATGGAGTTATTGTGGCCCTCAAACTGAAAGTAAAACCCGAAAATCCGCCTTCTGAACCTACCGTGCCTCTGGTCCTGCCCTCCGAAGAAGACCCCCTTGACCTGCTGGAGGCACTCCCGCTGCCTCCCCCATACCCCACCTCTGATCCCCAACCTGATTCCACTGCTCCATCCCCACCACATCCCATTCACACCCGCCGACACCCATGGCCCAAGGTGCCTTCAGAGCAAAGCTCTGAGGTGGATCTGCTTTGTCCATTACGGTCCCTTGGGCGGACAGGAGCTCAATGTTTGTGTACACCCCTTTCTCATTTTTAAACCTCTATAATTGGAAAGCCCAAAACCCTCCATTTTCTAAGGATCCTGAAACTCTGATTAACCTTTTACAATCTGTATTCTCCACTCACCGCCCCACTTGGGACGATTGCCAACAGATCCTGCACATCCTCTTCATGGCTGAAAAGAGACTGTGCATTTGCCCTCTTGGGCAAAAAGAAGTCTGAGACCCAGATAGATCTACATCCACCAATTGGCAGAGAATTGAATGCCTGTTCCCTTCCTCCCAACCTGACTGGAACCCCAATACAGATGGAGGTGGGAGGGCTCTTGATGATTATCACCTGAGGCTTCTAGACACACTTTGTGCTGCCACCAAGAAGCCCACCAATTTGTCCCAAGTGACTGAGGTAAGAAAATTGGCTGATGAATTTCCTGCTACGTTCTTAGAGTGCCTCTTAGAGGCATATAGATTGCATACACCAATTAATTCAATGGACCTGAAAATGCACAAGCAATTAATATTGCTTTCGTGTCCCAGTCAGCCCCCAATGTTAGGAGAAAATAACAGAAGCTTGAGAGGTTTAAGGGAATGCCCCTCAGCCAGTTAATAGAGATAGCACAAAAGGTCTTTGAGAACAGAGAGAAGCTACCAACAAGAAGATAACTGAGGTGTTAGAATTGCCCTGTAAGAAAGAAACTAAAAAGCCAGCCAATACCAAAAAGAAGGAAGCCCAGGGACAACGACCTCCACTAGATAAGGAACAATGTGCATATTGCAAGGAAATGGGACATTGGTGAAAAAATTGTCCAAAGTTAAAGGCTAAATTAGAAAGAGAAGCAAAAACCTTGTTGTCTCAACAATGAGGAGGTCAGGGCTCACTGCCACCCCCCAAGCCCCGGATAACCTTTCAAGTGGGGGGGGGGGCATCCGGTGGACTTCCTGGTAAATACAGGAGCCACCTATTCTGTACTGACTCAACCCTTTGAAAATTGACTAAAGACTCAGTTAATGTAATAGGAGCCACAGGGGGACAAAGATCATACCCAAAGGTGACCGACCGCTAGTTTGGCTTGACCAGGCCGTAAGTTAGTCCAGCATTATTTCTTATGGGTACCAGAGTGTCCAGACCCCCTCCTAGGATGAGACCTCCTTTATAAGTTGCAAGTACAAATTGTCTTCTTAACAGATGAGCCAAAATTAAGATTGGGAACAGATTCAACCCAAACTCCTGAAAAGAGTATCAGAGTTTTGGCCTTGGTTCTGGAGGGAGAAAATTACCGACTGCTGGAAAATTTGACTGATCCTCCTAAGCTACCACTTGCAGACCCAGAATTAAAATTATTAGAAAAATGGAAACAAGAAATCCCCAAGGTCTGGGCTGAAACTAACCCTCCAGGTCTAGCGGTCAACCAAGTGCCCCTCATAGTAGAGCTTCTACCTCAGGTGTGCCCTATTTGTTTGTGTCAATATCCAATAAGTCTCTAAGCTTGAAAGGGACTTAAAATTCATATACAGAGACTAAGAGAAACTGGTTATCCTCATCTCTTGTGTCTCCCCTTGGAGCATGCCCCTGCTTCCAGTCCAGAAACCAGGGACAGCTGACTAGCATGCTGTGCAAGATCTCAGGGAGGTCAACAGATGAGTATTGACTCTACATCTAACAGTGCCTAACCCTTACACTCTACTCAGCCTCCTCAACCCAGAGTGCACCTGGTACTCCGTATTGAACCTCAAGGATGCCTTCTTCACTCTACCACTTGCCCTGGTGAGTCAACCCATTTTTGCTTTTGAATGGACCAACCCAGATTCCAGGGTCATAGAACGACTGACTTGGACTCAGTTACCACAGGGTTTTAAAAATTCACCCACCCTTTTTGATGAGGCTTTGGCTAGAGATCTCTTGGGTTTTCATGAAGAACACCCCAAGGTAATGCTTCTACAATATGTGGATGACCTGCTGGTAGCCTCATCCACCTTAGAGTCCTGTCAAGAGGTGACAGGGGAGCTACTAAAAACTTTGGGATGATTAGGTTATAAGGTTTCAGCCAAGAAAGCCCAATTGTATAGCCAAACCATGACTTATTTGGGCTATGAGTTATGGGGGGGGGGGAAGAACTCTATCCAAAGAAAGAATTCAAGCCATATTGCAGATTCTAACCCCAGAAACTAAAAAACAAGTACAGGAGTTTCTGGGGGTGGTTGGATACTGTAGGCTATAGATTATAAATTTTACTGAAATAGCTTGCCCGCTGTATGACTCCCTTAAGGGAGAAACTCAAAATTCACTGAACTGGACTGATGAATGTGAACAGGCCTTCCAGTAGCTCAAGTGGGCTTTGACAGAGGCCCCAGCCCTGGGACTCCCTGACGTTACCAAGCCATTCATCTTGTTCATAGATGAACTCAGGGGCATTGCCAAAGGAGTCCTAATCCAGGACATTGGCCCTTGGAAGAGGCCTATAGCCTACCTCTCCAAAAGACTTGATCCGGTGGCAGGAGGATGGCCTCCCTGCCTGAGACTGCTAGCTGCTGTGGCAATGCTACTTAAAGAGGCTAAGAAACTCACTTTTGGATGAAAGATTTCTGTGGTGATCTCCCACAGTTTAGAGACCCTTATCAAAACCCCTCCTGAAAAGTGGCTCTCGAATGCTAGAATTCTACACTATCAGGCTCTGCTCCTAGACCCAGAGTCAGTGGTTTTCAAGACCTCTTCAGCCTTAAACCCGGCCACCCTTATGCCTGATGATGACCCTGAAGTTCAGAGTGTATCTCTCCATGAGTGTGCTGATCTCCTTGAAATGCAGCAGAATCCACTGGCTGATCTTACTGACCAGCCTTTGGGGAATGCGGATAACTACTTCACTGATGGGAATAGTTTCATCCAGGACAGCAAACAAGTAGCCAGAGCGGCAGTGACCACTGAAAAAGAGATACCCTGGGTTAAGTGGTTAGAGCCTGGCACCTCAGCCCGAAAGGCTGAGCTCATTGCTTTGACCAAGGCATTAAAGTTAGCCACCGGGAAGAGGGTAAATATCTATACTGACAGTAGATATGCTTTTTCTATTGTACATGTGCATGGAGCCATCTATCAAGAGCGAGGTCTCTTAACTTCAGCCAGGACTAAGATAAAAAATGCTCCACAGATTCTAGACTTGCTGGCAGTTGTCTGGCTACCTCAGTGGGTTGCTATTATTCATTGCAAGGCTCATCAGACGGGAGATGACCTTATCATCCTAGGAAACAATTTAGCAGACCAGACCACTTGAAAAATAGCAGCCACATCAGAGGGGCCAACCAAGGAGATAACTGCTCTGATGTTGATTCCTCCCACCTTATCAAAACCAGTTTACACAAAGAAAGACCTGCAGTTAGCACCTCAACTTGGAGCAAAGTTCCTTACCCCAGGAGGTTGGTATCAATTGCCAGACAAGTGAGTGCTGCTGCCAGAGGCACTAGGATGTGAGCTGGTACAGCAGGCTCACCAAACCATCCATTTAGGGGGAACTAAACTTGATGAATTGTTCAGAACTCAGTTTTTCATTCTAAGATTCTCCAAGCTGACCGCTTCTTTGAGCTCCAGATGCCCGCAGTGTTTGTTAGTCAACCCAACCAAAAGCTCTCCACTGGAGACCACCTAGCATCGAGGAACTGTGCCAGGAGAACACTGGGAAGTAGACTTTACAGACATGGTAAAGCCTAGTTTACAGGGACACTGCTATCTCTTGGTATTAATGGACACCTTTACTGGCTGGGTAGAGGCTTTCCCTACCAAGTCCAAGTCAGCCTTAGTGGTAGCCAGAAAGCTATTGCATGAGATCATACTTTGATTTGGCCTTCCACTATCAATAGGGTCCAATAATGGCCCGGCTTTCATAGCCCAAATCACTCAAAAGTTAGCCCAGGCATTAACAATTAGTTGGAAACTCCACTGTGCCTATCAGCCACAAAGCTCAGGGCAAGTAGAACATATGAACTGAACTCTCAAGGGTACTTTAGCTAAGTATCTTTAGAAACTGGCAATAATTGGGTGAGCCTTCTTCCTTTTGCTCTGCTGCGAGCTAGATGTACTCCTTATGTTTCTGGAATTTCCCCATTTGAAGCTATGTTTGGGAGACCCCCTCCACTGGTTCCAAGGCTCTCTGAGGACAAATTAATTGAAATAACTAACCAAGATCTCATTAAGTCCCTGCAGGTGTTCCAGGCTGTGCTGACCTCCATCCACCAGCTGTTCAGACAAAAACACCTGGACCCGCCTTTGGAGACACCATTAAAGACACCCATTGAGCCAGGTGGGTTTTAGTGTGACACCATCATTGAGACTCCCTTGAACCCCGCTGGGAAGGACCTTTCACTGTGGTGCTCAGTACCCCCACTGCAGTCAAGGTTGCCAGAAAGACTCCGTGGATTCACCATACTCACATGAAGCCACTAGAAACTGCGGACGACAGGGACCTCACCCAATGGAAAGTGCACTGAACTGGTAACCCGCTAAAGTTAAGTTTATTAAGGACTCTTGATTATGCTAATCATGCTTTTTTGTGGTTTATAGTTTGTTGCTTAATTATGGTTGTACTCCCTGGAAATGGGGATTGGGTTATTTCAGATGAAAAGAGAAAAAAAAGGAGTTGGGAAGGACTAAGAATGACTTAAACCAAATTACTCTTGACCTATGTACACTCTTTAATAGTAAACTAGTTGAGAGAAATGGCTACTCAACCAATTCAATTACTGTGATGACCTCCAACAAGCCCGCATTCTCCGGGACCATTTTAGAAATGGCGTTGAGGACATATGTATGTCCTAAAAGCCAACCAGACCCTAGTTATAATGCTTATTGTGCCTCAGATCTGAATGAACAATACTGTTATGCATGGTCATGTGTTACTGGAGGCCTCAGTGAATATTACTGCTCTGAAAAATATTTTATTATCAGTTGGATAGGAAATGAAAACTGTCAGACTGCTCATACCTGTAATCCTGTTCTGTAATCCTGTTCTGTTAACTTTCCTAAATCCATTAGAGCCAAAGTGGCAAGGAGATGGACTCATTTATACCATTAAGGTTTATAAGGCTGGATATGATCCAGGAAACAACATTAACAACCTATATAAGCCCCTAGAAAAGCCTCTATGGTTAAGCTTCAAAGGCCAGATCAGACCCCTCTGCCTCCACTTAAAGCTTCAACCGAGGCTATGGTATTTACAACTGTCACCGGTCTCACCTTGACACCCTCCCCAAAATGTCTTCTATATCTTTTATGATTGATGTATTTCAACCTTTGGAAATAGTGGCCAAACTACTCAACACCTCCCTCGAGAGTAGTCTGTCAACCCCATGCTGGCTGTGTTTGTCCTATGACCCCCTCCTTTTTGAGGGATTCATTAAGGTCACTAATGAGTCATCACCTAGTGTGGCTAGGTGCAACATGGCACTCCCTCAGATCTTATGGAAAAACACCAGATTAGCAGGAGTAAGTGGTACTTGCATATATCATTCCAGCCACACAGCCCCTGAATACTGTGATCCCACAAGTTCTCATGGCATCACTGGGCCTGGTAATCATACCCTCATAGTAGCCCCAACAAGCCATTGGTGGGCCTGTACTTCAGGATGGTACCCCTGCGTCACCTCAAAAAAGTTCATTATTGACCAAGATGAAGTTTGTGTATTGACCCAAATTTTACCTAGAATTTATTGGCATCCAGAGGAAGAAGGAAATAGGATCCTCATTTCTCCCAACCAACGGGTAAGCAAAAGAAGCCCAGTCCTTCCTATTGTAGCTGGAATTAGTATATTTTCGGCTCTTGGGCTGGGGGTCATCTCCCTGGGAGTCAGTATGTATCAGTACAACTTGCTATCATAGCAGGTGAATGAGAGGATGAAACAAATTCATGATGCTATCGAAGCTTTAGAAAGCTCGATTGACTTGCTAGCTGAAGTGGCCCTTCAAAAACGCTGAAAGTTAGACCTCCTATTAGCTGAAGAAGGAGGATTATGCTTAGCTTTGGGGGAACAATGCTGCCTATATGCTAACAAGTCTGGAATCGTAAGACAAAACTTAGCCAAACTCCAGAGGGGCATTGAAGAAAGGGAAAAGCTAAGATGGGGAACTTCAGGATGGATGGAACTAATGTTCTCCTTCTCGCCATGAGTAACTAGTTTAGTAGTGACCCTAGCTGACCCCCTTGTCATGATCCTACTACTAGTCACCCTAGGCCCCTGTATAATCAATAAGCTGACTGCTTATATTAGACAGCAAATGCAGAGCATAAAACTGATGATGATCTGTCAACAAGCTTCTGAGCTTATTCCCCAAGATCCGTAACATTAGGCCAAAGGTTTGGCCTCTGTCACAACATTAGAGGGGAATGTTATGGCCTAGCTCTAACCAATGTGCCTCCATCCTGTTCTGTATGCACCGTTTTCGATAGGATTAAATTTCCATTTCCAGTAAAGACCTTAAGTTTCAGCTTCTTGTAAATCCCCCCTAACCCCCTTGCCGCATGTTTCTGCAAGGTGTTCTATTCCAGGAAAATGTTTAACCACAGAGAACAATGGAATGTACCAAGAATCCAAGATGTTATCTGAAATAAGTCAGCAGCTTTGCAGTTTTTAGCTTTAAAAACCCCACCCTTAGTCTGTTGTACACGCAGTTTTCCATATTGGCTACTGGAGGCTGCGTCGCCAGGCCTGGAAATAAAGCCTTTGCTCCAAATTTCTTGCTTCTTTGGATTTATTCCGGGATATGAGCGATCACATTTATAGTTTGAGCTTCTCATATAAAAGAAACTGTGATTTATTTTGCTTAACTTTATGGCTTAAACATGCATTCATTTCTCTACAAATGATTACTCTTCCTTCTTAATGGAAGAGTAATGCTTCACTGTGTGTAAATACCACATTTACTTCATCCATTCATTTGCTCATGGATACACAGGCTGCTTCCAACATTTAGCTATTACAAATTTTGTTGCTATAAACACGGGTGTACATGTATCACTGTAGTACGATAGTTTTACCTCTTTTAGGAATATTTCTAGAAGGACAATAGGTAAGATAAATGGAATTTCTAAGTTTAGTTTTTTGAGGAATCTCCTTATTTCCATAGTGATTGTACTAGGTAATAATTCCACAAAAATTGTAAACTGCAATTTCTGGGAATTCATGTTAGCTGTTAGTCCTGGACCCCTAAAAGTGTGTTACCCCATGGAGCCTTCTGAAAATTCAGATGTGTCCAGGGCTGGGGAGAGTAGGACTCCATCCAGCTCACTTCTGTGTGTCCCATGCAGTGAATGGAATCAAGAGTTGAAAATGGAGAATGGGAGCTATTTGGGGCATTGCTTGGAATAAAGGATTAAACAGAGAGTGAAAGAATACTAGGGACAAGGTCAGTACCAGAAAGGGGCTACTGTGGGGCCAGAAGTTACTTCCAAATTGCTACACCAAGAAGATACAATTGTAGCAGGTCAAATGTATTGCAGATATAAGAAAAATGATCCAATATGGAGTGAACACAAAAGGAGGTCTAGTTATCAGGCTTAAAGTAAAGAGGTCTGTTTGCATGGTATATGAACTTGCCATAGCTATATAATGTAAAAAAGAAAAGAAAGAGACAAAGAGATACAGAGATAGATAGATAGATAGATAGATAGATAGATAGCAACAAAACTACCAGCCTAAGCATGGATGAGTTAAGTCAAGGGTTTGTTGAATCTCTGATAGCCCTGTGATTCTGCTATCTTTATTATTCCTTTATTCAGACCAATCATCTTTCCCTAAGTCCTGGGATCTCTTTAGGTTACTAAAGAAGTTGTTGCATTTGGGTAAGGTCAGCCCTAAATATATTTGTTTTCTACCTAATAATTTGCGTTGAAGTAACTACAGACATGTGGGAGTAGAAAAGCACCTGGAAATCATTAATGAATGATTTAACTATTCAGGGATGGGACATGACTATTTTGTTTTTATGTATTTTTTGTTTGTTACCAGGCAATCAATGTTGAGTTAACCGCATTACAGGCAATGAATTGGAATGTTGTGTGTCAGCTGTTTTTTATGCCTTCATTGTGTTTCCATAGAAAAGGGTATAAAAGCTGCTTGGGAAGTAAAGAAGGCAGAGAAAAAGACAAAGAAACATGATGGCAGTGGTGGAGAGAAAGGTAAAGAGAGAAGGTCACAGGGATGGAGAGAGAGAAAGAGATTTTTCTGCTTGAGAAAGGCAGAAGATGGCAGCTGATCTGCAGGGGATGACATCCAAGGTCGTCTGACTCTGAAGCCACAGGTCATCCCTCTCCTTCAGAATGGTGAGCTTCATGAACACTCTCCTTTATCTGACTTGAATATTGTATACCCAGCAGATACATTCCATAAACATGTCTTGGCAAGAACCATCCTATTCAAAGCTCTAGTAGGCTTTCCAAGGAGGGCATTGATCACATGATGACTATGTACTTTTGTTTGAGAAGCTCAGATGAGTGAATTTTTGTGCATTATTGAAAGATTTCCTCTTTTGAAATATGAGAGTTGTAGGCTGGGGATTTAGCTCAGTGGCTTAAGCGCCTGCCTGAAATATGAGAGTTGACTTAGACTATGCAAACTACTTTCTTCTCATTTTTTTATTACCACATGTTGAACTTATATCACAAGTTGGCTGTTTCATTGACTGGTTCAGGAGCAATTTCTAATAGGAAGGGGAAATAAAGCCAGAAGTAAAGTTAAATGTTTCTTGATGCCACGAGGGTCTTCAATGGCCACTTTGTAATAGTATTTCTTTACAGGGTGCACACCCGCAATACACACAGTACTTTATGATAACTCACTGCATGTGAAGAGATTATGGATTTGTTTTTGCTTTCTCTTCTCTTTACTTCCTTCACCCTTTTCTAAAGAGCTGAATTTGGATAATCAACTGATGCAAGTTGGCCCTAATTTGGCATTTCTGAAGCACACCAGCAAACGCTAGCTTTCAACATATGGCAAACAGCCCCATTCTCTGTCCCTTTTTATAGGCTTCAGGGAGGCCATAGGATCTTCTCTAAAGTATCTTCTGATTTCAACATTCCTAGATCTGTGATTCTGTTATGGTTTTAAAAGGGAATTTATTTTGGAATGATACAAAGTGGTATAGAGAAGTCATAAAAGATGTGAATTTGGCTGAACAGCCTTTAAAAGAAGAAATAATTCAGTGAAAAGAACATACTTTAGCTTTCTGGGAGTTTAAAACTCCAGTTGGCTTCTTAATCTGTTAATCTTAAATTTTGTTATTTTCTAACCATTCATTACTACTTCTGGTAAATTAATATTCAGTAATATTCTTGACTGCTAAAAATATCCATCATCATAATGGAAGGAATTAATTAACTCCAGTAAATTCAGTACAGTCCTACATTATCTGAATTTTATGATGAATGAATAATGTTTTAATTTAAAAATTGGCACAGCTTAATTCATGACTGGCGCACTGGACTAGGAGTTAAACATATGTGAAATTTGAATATACAAGATAGATCTGAAGCTATCGTGGAGAAGGTTCTTACTTTTAGTTTTCAAAACAAAACAACAATGAAAAAAGAATAAAAATAATGATACAGAATTTCAAAAGAAAATAATAGGAAATTAACACTTGTTAAAACATTGCATATTGTTATCTTCAAAGTAGTTGTTCAGATTACAAGATTTTGGCATGAAAAAAAGATTGAACAATCAAAAATGAAAGCACGAACTGTTCTTTTTGATGAACTAACAAATTGGCGGTATAGTTAATGTCTTGTGTGTACATGTATATACATATGTATACACTATATATATGAAGATTTTTAAAACAATTGCTTTTCATCTTTATTTCAACTTAGTAACCATTATGCTCTTAAACTTAAAAAAAATCAGTTCTCTTTTGTTCTATCTTCTTTTTCTTCCCTTATACTTAAAAATATTTAGTAATGACCTGAGTGATAATTAAGTATTTAAGTGTTTCTGGACACTAAGTTCTCAGGTCACCTGTGTGGAAATGAAGTTCCCAGTCACAGTGCATTTGGAATGAAATTAAATTTGTGCCTCCAGTGTCAGAGGAAGTCCCTGAAGAGTCCTGCTCCTGGTTAAAACCCATGTGTGGTTTCCCGGCAGTTACAATGGCTTTTGCTGGCAGGTCTCACTGGGAAACCTGCCTTCCCCACACCAGACCGAGGGCATGGCCAGCACAATGCAGGTTCTGAGGTTGCAGCTGAAAACTGAGCCTTTCTTGGCCTGGTACGCCTTTCACACGTTTAGAATCCTCAGCTGAATCATTTTACTTTTCTGAGCTTCATTTTGTATGTTCTTAATCAGAGACAGAAACTAAAACAGATGTGTGGTCACTTGGGTAGGGTCCCGTAGGTGGAAATTAGGTATCTTCCTGAAGTGCTTTGGATTAAGTCAAATGGCAAGGTTTCCTTTTATGTACTACTACCCGTGGGTATAATCACTTCTTAACATCTGATTATTTTCTTTGTTGTCATTTTCTGGTTAATTCTGGAAGGGAAAAGTTTTCTGTCTTCCTGGTAACATTTTTCTTTTATTTTGATTTTTTTTTTTTTTTTTTTTTTTTTTTTTTTTTTTTTGGTCACACGTTTTACTGTAAGAGCTGATATTTATCCTGTTTGGTAGGCCCATTAACACAGTGATGAGATATTGTAAGGTTAGATCTACATGGAAGGTAAATAAACTCCAGCCTTCACACCGATTAATGCAGGTTTCCGCAAAGACAAAGAAAACAAGCAAACAAAAAACTCCATCAGGTTTCTCAGCTTCATTCTTAATGATGTTATTAAATTGGAATAATAACAGAAGGAGTTTCAGATAAGAGCAATGCAGGTTAAAACTTCACTGAAAAACCTGACAAGTTATTTTTCCCGAGATGATAAATTACCTTTAAAGTGTACTAGGAATGACCGTGTTCATCAACCCACATTACCCTTGAGGATCTCAGATGCCAGGTTATAGAATTTTTGGCGCAGAAGGGAACCATCTGATAGGATTTTGGTGTGGCTAAAAGATAAGAAATACGAAATAAAAGAGACCTTTATTTTAAGAATGTGGGGAGAGACCCCATGACCCTCCGGGGTCTGGCATTCTCTCCGCCAGACACGTGGTGTGGGTGCATACTTGTAGCTTAGGTTTGGGGTGGTGCCTGAGGGGCATTAGTGATGCACAGGTAGCCCACTGCTATTCATTTTGCGCCACAGGTAAATTGCCTAGAGGCGGGAAGATGACCTCACGATAGAGCCCCTTGGTTCTGCCTCCAAGGTTTTACCGGCTACAGTGTCCCATCTGGGGCAAACACCTTTCACCAGGCAAAAGCCCAAGGTCAGAAGCTCAGATGGTGTTCATATTTTGGGGCAGAAGCTCAGCTTGAAATCAATGTGTCCAGAAAACATTACTGATGTCAGGCCAGGTCCAGCTACTTTCCTTAAGGCCAAACATTTTCAAGATGCTTTTTACTAAGTTACTTGCTACAATTTTTCTTCTGTGAGTTTATTTTCACATACTATTGCACTCGGGTTGGCTTTAAGTGGTTCTTACTAATTCTGTGATTTTAACCTTGGATTTTCTTGCCACATAAAGACAAAGTCTGAGTGGATCACTATACATCATAAAACTCTATGGACTATTTCCACCACCATGGAAGATATTCAGGGACAAGTGAGCTTGTTCCATTCCTGGTGAGGGTTTCTTTATGCCAGTTAGCTCATGCCAGAGGCTGTTCTGTGACAGATATGAGAATGATCTGGATTCCTGACCTTTGTATTTGCTCAACCGTCAAAGCAGCAGGTATTACCTAGAAATAGGTGGTGTGTGTGTGTGTGTGTGTGTGTGTGTGTGTGTGTGTAAGACAATATGATTCCTGAAGCATTTTTCAGGCAGTTTCTCAGAAGTTGTCTAGAGAATTTGACCCCTGCCCACTGGGATTCCATTTGTCAACACATTCTTCACTGATTTTTCTCTTTGTTTTCCCATTTCCTCACCTGTCTTTCTGAAAACACCTCTCAGGTAAATGACTTGTGCTCGGTGCTTGCTTCAGTGTCTGCTTTTGGGTAACCCAAATTAAGAGAAAATAATTTAAAAGATCATTGAGTGAAAAAAATGTGAAAACGTAAAACAATTCATCTGATAAATAAGCTAAAGATGAAATAAATTCAACATGTAGAAGTTACTCAAATCATTCACACACACATCTCATATTGATCTGAGCAAGTAGAAATGACTTGAGGAAAAGCAAAGAACTTGATTAAACGTAGTTTTAAGAAAGAAAAATTTATTTATATTATAAATAAAGTGAAAATAGTAAATTAGCAGTAGCTATGAACCTTAGTCAACAATAAGATTGAAGGAAATAAATAAGATGTGTTGAAAACTGGGGCAGTGCACTACAATCAGAATATGCAAACACAAAGTTTAGCATATACAGTGACATAATGTTTGTGCTTTGAAAGCTGTAAATTGAAATTCACTCAGTGTATTATTGCCAAAGAAGTGGGAGTATTACGGAGGAATGATACTCCATTAAAATTGTTGTAGGTTTTTTTTTAATCCTTGCTTCCCTAAAATTTTTGGCATTTGTGAGTAAATTAGTTTATCTGGGTGTGTGATTTCTGACCTAGTTCATCAGATTGGTATGAACTCAGATTTGATAATGGGTGTGAAAAGACTTTGCAAAAACAGTTCTGTGCAAATACAAGACTATTGTTCAAAGAAGTGGAACATGATAGTTAGTATTTACTATTCTGAACTTCATTTGGGTCTCAAGGATGCAAAGTGCCCATAAGGGTGGTATTGTACTTGTCCAAAGTTATCTGAGTGTTATTTCCTTTTCAAAAGGTAGACATGCCATAGTCCAGACCCTCCCTTACACTTCTCTGTAGTTAAAGGTCTTAGTTACATAATCTGTTGTTAGAGTCCCTTTTGTACAGTAAACCCAAAACACAAGCATTGTTCTATGTTGAACCAATAACTCATACAACTGAAAATGTGAAACAGATCTGAATTATTCCAAGAATCTTAAGGAAGTGCAGGGTAGGTAGAAAGCATTTCTCCTAAATTCTTCTAAGAGACCCTTCATTGTAGATTCACATGATGTGCTCAGAATCAAGAAATGTATTTTGAGCTATGTTACACAATTCTGAAAGAATTCCTTCCCTCAAGTATTGCAATCCCAGATAATGTGTACAGTCAACCTTTTCTAGTTTTCCTCACAATCCAAAAAGTTATAATTGTAATCCCATTGAGACATTGGAATCCCAGGAAGTTAATTCCAATCTACCACCTCCAT